AATGCTTTATGTACATATATATACATTAAAAAAAAAATTGGTTTTGACAAGCTAGAGCAAGCTTGTCATCACCATATGAATAAAAGGAGGCTTCTGTCAGGGTCCAGATGATCACCCAGCTTGTTGCCATCATATTTTGGAGTGGAACACCCATAGTTTTGTATTTCACACAAGGATTGCCTGCAGCTGACAGAGAGAGCAAGCCAAATTCTGCTCTCAGTTAACTGAGGTAAATAGAGTGGCTTGCCTAGAACCAGAACAGGCATGCTGGGCTGTCATCAGTTAACAGGGCAAGCAGTCACAGCACTGTAACTCTCACTGAAAGCACTCTATTCCAGAAACTTTACGAGAATTTCTCCTACTTCATAAGAAAAATAGAGCAGAATTTTGTCTTCTGCCATCGTTATTTTCTGAATGTACAGTTTCTGGGGGGATTTAATAAAAACATGAGAAAACGAGTTGTTATTTGAATAACGCAAGATTTTGAACAGATTTAAGTAGATTCAAGAAGGTTTTTGGATAGCATTTTGAAATACTTTTTTTTTTTTTTGCAGGAAACACATTTAATTTGGCATTTAAAACCAAAAACACAAACAAACAAACAAACAAAAAACTGAATATGTTCTGTAGATACTTTATCTTGGTGAGTTCAGGCCTTCACTGAAAGCAACTAAAGCTTCCAACAGTTTTATAAATTCTTATTTTCATTTGCATGAAAATTTTTTCTCTATGCCCGCCCTACCTGAAATAGTAGAAGATGTAGAAAGAACTAGTTCAGAGAGGGTGCAGATATTCCCACCACAATGTCTTTAGCCATATTTCAGGCAATTTTAGACAATATCATGTATAAAACATATACATCCTTGCTCCTACTACTGCTACAAGTAGAAGAGTTGCAATGGCAGCTTTGCAGCAGTGAATGTTTCCTAATAAGAACATCTCACTTTTCTACTTTTACCTCTGGATTCCCCAAAACTAATTAATTCTTTACATTTTTCAGAAATTTTCTCAGTGTAAAATATCATCTGATATCTATAAATACAAGACAAGAAGCATATTTGACTCATTGTTCATTATTCTTCATTCTACAAATGACCCTCCATGTATCTAAAATCCTGACACCTTTCACACATTCCGAAAATGAAAGGCAAATAAAAATACTAGCATTGTAAGTGGATGGAAAACTTTACTACTCTGTGTAGAAGAACAAGCAAATAAGTAAATAAATCACAGGCTAGGGGGAAAATAAGGTACTAGAGCCCAGAGCATGTCTGAAGGGAAAGATCTTAATTTTTATTTTTTTTTTTTTAAATATATGGAGCAGACAATAAGTTACAATGATTTGAAATGTGTAAGATATGGATTTTAATATATTTTATCTAGTGAATTGGAAGAGAGAAGGAGAAGAGATAAAAAGAGGTGCAGGAAAGGTAGGATAAATTATGCAAAGGATAAAGAATGAGAACTGTGCATTGTAGAAAGAAAAGTGAAGAAAGAACATGGGGGCAAACAAATGGAAAAATTATAGGCAGAGATGAGGAAACGACTAAGTGAAATTCAGGACCTCTGAGACAGCTCCTAAACCTACAGTAAGAATGGAATATTAAGTTGTGTGCCTTACTTAAACAGTTTGAAGATCAGTAATATAGCTAGAAAGGAATAGAGTTCAGTGCAGGATGATGATCCTTAAGGAAGCAGACATACACTCATGCAATCAGCCTGTGCTTACTACATTGTTAGCACTCAAATCAGCTAGTTCAAGTCTGTTTCAGCTGAAATTAGATTACTGAGAGCGTAGGATGTTCATCTATGTGACAATACAGAGAAACTCTTTCCCATTTGCCTTCATCTCAAACAAGAATATGAGTAATTACATAGATGTTTCTTGAAGCCTGTTATCATGTAATTAGTCCTTTTTCCCACCATGCCTTTCTGAAATGAAACCTTGGAAATCCAATAGTGTTAACTAGCTGAAGTCTTCTGGAAACCATTTTGACTGTATCTTCTTTCCTCCAGTGTTAAGTACTCATCATTTTTTTGATTTCCTTGATTTTTCTTTTAATGCAGTGGGGATTCTCAGAGAGAACTGGGCCTTTAAGAGAAATGTGTTGGACTTAATAACACTTAAAAATTACCATTATAGATAATTTGAGCTCTGACCAAGAGTAGCACTATACCATTTTGTGGATAGTGTGGACTGCCTTAGAGACTAAGTTTACCTAAGACCTTAGCATTGCTGCTTTTACTCTTCTAAATCTCTATGTTATTAGCTAATTGGAGATAATTTTTTGAGGAAATGGTTGCAACGTGCTTGCTAGATGTTTTTAATATTCCATTTTTTGTTTGCTTTAATTTGGAAAAACCAACAAGGAAATATTTATAAAGTCGGGACGCTGTGTCTTCAGTTTAGCTCTGTGATTTTTTTGTGGATGATCTCCTTGATAAAGAAACGTGAGCTCTTACCATTTATTTATTTTTATTAACTTGCTCAATAGCTGTTTTTAAAATTGTGCTTTGTATTGTCTGCAATGGTATAGAAAACACTAAATCTCATCCACAGACTGTTGAACAACTGCAGTCATTAGGAATATATCTGGGCATATGTAGAGGGTTGGTTTTGAAACAGTTGTCTATTAGAGATCTGGAAGGTTTGGTGGGGCAAATGCATCAGCAGTAGCGCATGCAGAGCACCTCAAACCAAGTTTTCATATTACTAAGCAGATATATTAACAGAACAAATGCAGCTTTTATTTTCTTTGAGGAAACCACAATATAATTAACTCGAATAAGAAAGTGTGTATAGGAAAAGCTGTCAACCATCTCCTTTATGTAGATATTATCAGTATTTTCCTCATTCTACATAAGGTTATCTCTTTAACAACTTTTATGATATCTTGTCATACAAAAAAAAAAAAAAAGTTATCAAAAAATAAAATTGCAGTGTTAGTATAATTTAGAGTTCCTTTGGTCTTAACACTGTTCTTCTCATTCTGTACCATTCTACAGCTACAGTATTCTGCTCACTCAATCCAGAGTACTTTTCAGTCAAATACGGTACCATGGGTGGGGGAAAGCATGTTCTAACGTAAACATCAGCAAACATGTGCTCTCTTTTTCTCTCTCTTTTTTTTCTTTTTTTTTTTTGTTGTTTATTTTGTGAAGTTTTAATATAATTATAAACCTTTTGTTTACTGGTTAAAATAAAAGAAGATTTGAAAGTTGCAAATATTGACAAAACTAAATCAGCTTTGCTTTTTTGCTTTTCTGCTGTCAGTCAGGTATCTGTGCAAGAATCTGTGAACACTTACATCTGACCACCTCTTTTTTTTTTTTTTTTTTTTTTACTTTCTTTTATGTTTCCTTTATGTAATGGTGAATTAAAAACAAAATCCATAGTTCAGAATTAAAATATATGAAGATTTGATTCTTCTACCATTTACCCATTTAATGAAAATAAAATGAATTTTTTGTTTTCTTGTTATGTCTTACACATCTTTTTAATTTCTATTTTTAATATTAAAAAAAAAAAAAAAGTATTAATCAACAGTCCTATGGTTTTACAAGCTCAATACTTCCCTGCCAATTGGCCAGTGTGGGTCTGGCGTGGCCTTTACTCTTTTCCTTAACTACAGAGATGGAAGGAACACCACCCAAAGGAACATGGATATGCTTGATAAATGGGACGGACCGTGTGAACCTAATGAGGTTCAACAAGGCCAAATGAAAGGTGCACTATTTTGGTCTAGGCAGTCCCAGATACAAATACTGACTGGGAGAAGAAGAACTCTTTGAAAGCAGCCCAATGGAAAAGGACTGGCAAATGAAAAGTTGGATGTGAACCAGAGCTTGCAGCCTGGAGGACCAACAGTACCTTGGGCTACATCACTAGAGGTGACAGCAGGGCGACGGATGGGATTGTTCCCTTCTGCTATGCCCTTACTAGTCCTCTGGTATACTGCAGCCAGGCCTTGGGCCCCCAGCACATGAAAGATGCAGAGCTCCTGGAATGAATCCAAAGAGCCACATTCTATGATTAGCTCCAATGAGGACCAGTAGCAAGATGCTTTGTAACTCTGATTTTGGTATTCTATGGAACTTATTAATTATACATTTAACACTTTCAATGTACCGAAATGTTACACATGTAACAGTTATGAGGAAATGTGGAAAAATGATCACGTGAGTGGAATAGTGTTACCCTGTTACCCTGGTGTGCTTCTGGTCTCCTACTAAACTTGCAGACCCAATGGTTTTGGAGGGGTCATTCACATTCTATTATTCCTCTCAAAGTGGGTAATGTGGTGGTGCTAAAACTGATTCTGCAAACAGGAGGGCAGTACTGATACGTTGCAAGACAACATTAAGTATTTATCCTAAAATGTAAGGAATATTATTTACAAGTAATTCTGACATAAGTTTTTCAATACTAGAAAGCTTTCTTATCTGTCACATGTACTGAAATCTATCCCTGAACTTTACATTTACACATTCATTTTTTTTATTTCCCCAAACTTCCTCCAACACAGATTTTATGAAAGTAACAGATGCCAAGTCTATGTAAAGGGTAATTTATCTTCTTCCAGATGACCCACTTATGGTATATGCCAGGATACTACAGTGATCCTGTAATCATCTGGCCTATGCACACATTGGTTGCACTGTACAGTGTCCCACAGATTCTGCAGACTTACTCAAGGGAATAACACAGCTGCCTGGCCACAATGCCTACAGCACTGCTCAGAGAAAGTATTAAGGGTAGCAGTCCAGTGTCACTCCTTATATGTATTACCAAATAAACATCTCTCTAGATTTAAATAAACAGTCTGAATAAATGAAGTATTTTCATTTTCTGAAAAAAAGAACCACGTCTTTGATAAATAGACATGATCTGGTTACATGATTTGTTTCAGGTTAAGATCACTTTTTAATATGGTTTCACATTCACCACTTCAGCTGTCTGTCCCTATATGATATTTATTATCAGAAAAGCAAGCAATTACCGAGACAATCTCGTCCTCTGCCGGTACAGTTGCTGCTGATAGTGCTGCTGCCAGTGCTGCTGCCCTTGCTGCCTTCCTCATTGCTCTCTGAGTCTGAAGATTGGTAAAGTAGTTGACAGCTGCAAACTCAATAAGTGCAGAGAAGACAAAGGCAAAGCACACAGCTATGAACCAATCCATAGCAGTAGCATAGGACACCTTGGGCAAAGAATGGCGTGCGCTGATGCTTAAAGTGGTCATTGTTAGAACTGTAGTAATTCCTTGAAAATAAGAGAGAAAACAGGCATTAGAATTTTGCTTCATCCCTGTTGTTCTTAAATTCATCTGTACGTATCTGTGTGTGTTTATGTACGTACATAGATAACATATAAAATCACTGTTCAAGTAACTAACAGGTCTTAAGTATTTCGTATTCTTACGTAATTCATGTTTAGTGACTCGAGTATCTAAAAATACACTTCTTTAATACATTAAGCAGACTGGAAGTTAGGATAACTACATGCTACAAGTTGCAGCTTCTTAGAATTGCGATAAAGCATGGCTATAACAAAACCCCGGCTCAGGCTCAGAAAAATTCTTTACTTGATGAGTTCCTAAGTGGAATGTTTGACAGAAATGTAAATTAACATGACATGATTTTCTAGCAGTTATGATCCTATCTCCCATTGTTGCATAAGACAGATCGTGGCTTACAGAACTCTCACTGAATCCGTTGGATTTTTGCATTAAAATCAGTGGTAGGCTGTGAGCCTAATATTCTAATAATAATGTAAGCCTATTTCTAATAATAAGAGTTTGGTCTTCTGTACAGTGATCTTTAATTTCTGAATACATTTTTAAAGATTCACTAACAGTGTATCGATTTGAATGCTCCCATAGTTACAAATATGAAATGATGGGAAAAAGTACTTCTCTAAAACTTCTTATGTATTTTCACACACAAAAAATGTGATCATATAGTTTGTGAGCCCCATAAGTATTCGTCACATCTATCATGAACTTATTTTTTCTGTTTTGCAGTGTACAGCATGAATCATGTGGGAAGTATACTTACTTCCCACTGCTCCCTGATACAAGTGCAAACTCATCTGTTAAAACATACAAGCCTCTGTGACTCATGTTTACTTATAATTATGCCTGCTTGAATCTGAAAAATACAGGTAAAGACAGTAAGCAGGAGAATACCCTCCTCTGCTCCTTTCTGCAGTTGGAAAAGGGTAGGTGGGAAAGTAAAAGGTGTTATCGTGTCATGTTGCAATGATGAATCAGTATGCTATGAATGATACTGAGTGGAAAGGATGCAGTGTCATTGCATACTGCAGGGTGACTTGATTATTCTCAGGATTTTTTTGCAACTCTCTCACATGATGTAGCTTGCCAGCTGTCTGAGATCAAGTAATTCTCAATGTCACTACTTAACATGTTTTAATGAAATGCAAATAGAAGATATATAAAAATATGTAGGGTATCTACTTCTCCCAAGTCTGCCAGACTCATTTAATAACCTAAGTGCAACTATGCTGAGATAAATTTCAATTTCAGATGTCCAGAATGAACTTTTCAATATGATGCATGATTAGATTAAGATCTGCCTATGTGCTAGTTAATAATAATAAAAAAAAGATATTTTCTGTGTCTGAATGAAAACCTTCTACAGCAGGAATTTAAACTTAGGAATAGGACTCCTTTTCTATTAGAGATATAGATAAGAACGTTCTCAATGTGAATTTTGATGAAATTGTCTGTGCTGTGGAAAACTCCTTTATCAAACAGAATGCCACATTACAGTTGGTAAAGTGTGTAACTGATGATTGTCTTTCCATTTTGAAAAATCTGGTACATAATGCAAATACTGAAATGCTACTTTTTCCTTAAAAATAATTTAAAACTTTCTGTATCTGAGAAGTTACAAATAAAGCTTAATAACTAGATAATATGTTAAAAATTCAAAATTTCTAGTAGGAGGGTAGAAGCTGGCCATGGATCTGTGCAAAATAAGATCACGTTTTGCCAAACTAAAAAAAAGATTACATAAAGGTACCTAAAAATGTGAAACAGCCATTGTTATATGGTTCAAAGCATTTAATACTTGACAGGTCATACATAGAACCTGGCTTCAAATAACCATGCTTCCTACACCAAGTAATGTCTGATAACACCATGCTTTACAAAAAGATACGTATACTTGTATATGTATAAGCATACCTACATACAGAAGCTCCACACAAAATAAGGAATCTTGTATTGCCTATCTGCTGTTCTTTCCAATGTCACTATGATAAAGAGCACAATAATATCTTTTTCCTATATTTCATCTGTAAAGAATAGATGCTTATGAACATTAATTTATCTTACTACAATGTTATCTGCAAAAGATAACTGGCCTCCACTCTGGAGGTAAGTAGATTTGCTAAGTGATTTTCTCTGAGATATTGGTTTGGTCACATTATTGTTATTTTTCTACCATTAATTTCTTTCAAACCTATATTTTAAGAAGGTGTGCTTCATAAAAATATAATGTTGTTCAGTTTTGTCACAGTTTTAGAACATAAAAACAAAACTGAAAAATCTTAACAATTCAGGTACTTGCAGTACGATGCAGAAAGGATGCTTACCTCCTCATTTTTAAACTGGCCCTTTTGCTTAAACAAAGTTATTTAGTTTGGCTAAATAAACATTCTATATAAATAGTTTTGACTCTGGTGAGAAGATTAAATATCATTTGGTTTAATTTTTAGTATATGCTTTTGTTCAATGGAAAGTGCTTTCTGTCTTTTCCAATTTAAAGGCTAATGCCCACTAGATTACTGTAGCTGATTAATGCAGTGGATTGAATATAGTGATGAAGCGAATGACAAAGGAAACAAAACATGAATACCAGCCACGGTTCTTGCTGGAACAGATTCTTTGTTGATCCAAAACACAACTTGAGACAGGACTACAGTCATGATGCATGGAATGTATGTCTGAATGAGATAGTAGCCTATTTTCCTTTGGAGATGGAAATAGAGCAGCTGAAGTGAATATTCACCTAAAACAAACAAGCAATGAAAGTGATGAATGAATGGTATGTATGATGTTGAGGTGTTCAAAGACCTTAATGCAGCATACCAAAGACTGTTCTGGCTGGAACAGACTCCTTGTTAATCCAAAAAGAGACCTGAGAAAGAATGACTGTCATAATGCAAGGAGTATATATCTGTATCATGAAGTATCCCATCTTCCTTTGTAAGTGGAAATAAACTGTCATGATTACATATTCACCTGTTAGGAGACAAGTATGTCAGCATTATTTTGGCAATGTATGAATAAACATTATTGGCTTAAATTCAACATACTGTGTCCTAAGGAAAGTACTGATAAGCTTTCAAGTGTACAATCAAGATAAATCGACAACAAAGGTAAAGTGACCTATAGGAAGCAGAGAAGAATATTAATTTTTACATATTGTTTTTGCTGGGAGGGGGAGGCCAGGGGAATTCTTAATGCGAGTCTTCTAAGAGACCACAGCTAAACTCTTTGCAAGGATTTTAGTCTTAAAAATAACAAAAGGCAATTACAGTAATGCAATTATAAACTGAATGAAAAAGTCTGTAATCTGTTTTCAAGATGGTTTATGTAGTCAGTAGTACCCCTATGGCTACATCTTACCTGTGTTAGATTTAATTGTTTCGCTAGATACAGTTTGTCCTATGAGATCATACTGGAGGAGACTGGAAGACTCCTGTGGTACTTCTACAGAATGCAGAGGTCCTTTTTTCCATGTATAAATTATTTCACTTTTTGGGTAAGCATCTGAGTTACACAAGGAAAAAATACCAATAGAAATGATATGATTTATAAGCTATTAAAAAAAACAGAAGTAGCATGATCCCACTCCATAGAAATTTGCATCCTACTCCAGTAAATTTAGCATGAATGACCATATGAAAAAAACAAAAAGTACTAAGAGAATGCAAAGAATGGCTGAGATGGGAACTGATAGGTACGAACTTTTGCTTTTAATTTGCTATTAAATATATGCATTGATTGCTACAGATTGTCTAAATGTTTTCAATTTATAAAATTAGACTTTAATAAATGTACTACAGATTTTATGACTTGTTAAAGGAACAAATCTGAGTACTAATAATTTGTTACAGCCATCCTTCAGAGAACATATCCGTATGCCTAAGAATTGTCCGAGCTTTAGAGCAAAGAGTAAGATTCTAGTGTAAAAACTTAATAAAGACTTTCAATGTCCTAGGATCTCACTTCTGATTTCATGTACACGGAGACATGGAGACCAACTGTATTACTATATGAAATTGAAGGATATAGAAAAACATACAGCTTCCAAACTTCAAAGGGCAAGCATGTCCATCCATTGGGAAGTTCACCAGCCGCATAGGACAGTCAGCATTAATGGTTAGTCTAGAAAACATTGAAGTAGATGACAGTCAAAAATGAATGGTATGCCGGAAAACTGTTGAATGAATGAAAAACAAAGCAAAGGTCAACTAAAAGCAGAAGAAAAAGCTCTCACCTCATTGTGTAAAGAATAGTTCCATTCTGCATAATTCTGAAAAGTTTGTTAGGAGTTGTCATATTATGAGCAATTGATTTTTTTCCATTTCTAAAAAACGTGTCTGGTGTCCATATTTTACTGACCATTAAATTGTTCAATCTCAAAATTTCTGTTGGCCCACCAAACTTCAACCTCTCATCAGTCCACGTCTGCCGGAAGAAGACATCCATTGTGTATTCCTATGGAAAATAAATAGATGAATTATATGTGAGGGTCAGCAATCCTAAGCTGCTGTATATAGAGTAGCTCCATGAAAGACCCTAACACACATGTTAATGGCTTTTAATTTACTGCTTAGAGACCTAATCTATTATTAGATGTAATCTATTGCTACTATTAAGTAATTGAAAAAAAAAGGAAGGAAGGAAGGAAGGAAGGAA